CTTTAAGTGGGTGATTTCTTCAAAAAATCGATATTATGGATATGAAAAAATAATAAATCGGGGTGGATTCCACCATTGTTTTTGGGTGGTGGAGCATTTGATTCCACATTAAGGTGATGGTATGTCAAAGGGAGGTGAGGCAATCGATTTGAGGAACAATCTTTTCGATCCTATTGCGAATGATACAGTCGCAAAAGGGCCTGGAGCCATGGTCGAATACATGCAAGCGAATTTCATTAATTTTCCGAGGTTCAATACCTCAATTAAATCCAGTAACATCTTGTTTTCTATTATTTTCTTTAAGTTGATTTTCTTACCTTATTGTGCCCAAAGAGTTGCTTATAATTAACATATAATTATATTATTGTAATACAAATTGTTTTGAATAAAAAATATTATGTATCGAGAGTTCTTCTCAATTTTATCAAAATTTTGGTATTCTTTGGAATCGATGAACTTTTGATTCCCAAATCCTTGATATTCTAACGAATCAATGAGGGATTTGTCGTGTTATTCTCCATATCTATGCACCAGCCTACATCAATGTGGGAATGTATAACGAAATGTGGTAGTATGATCTTGAAAATAAACAATATATTAGGTCCTACTCGGGTTGAAATTGTTATCAGATAGTGCTTCGAAAGGCTATAAAAAGGAAAATAAAATGTTCTCAATTGTGTATGCAATACTCAATATTCAATATGAATCAAAATTCTTCGTATTGTGCATGAATTAACGCGTACTTGATGTCTAGTTTGAGTGAATCAACTGAAAGTAGAAGGTTATTCGTGAATTTTGAGTTTTCACGTTTTGTCGGTGCAAATGTGCACACACTTGGGAGAAAGGGAAATAGGAATCAACAATTTGAGAACTTGCACAAGGTATCTAATGGCTATTCAGGTTTTGATGAAAAAATAAATTATTAATTCTAGTTTAATCAAAAGAGAGATAGAACAAAAAAAAAAAAACTCCAAACAAATGATTAATTCTAATTTATTTGTAGATTGAACGATGAATGATTTTTGCTACTCTACAATTCCGGACTTTGTATAACTAAACGACACTGTATACCAAAATTCACCTTCAGCTTCTCTTTGTCATTAGCTATTGGTCCTTTGAAAACCCGCAAGTGAATGAGATCGTGAACAAGTAATAAAGTAGTGCGTAGAGTGTTGAACCCACGAGGACTACGTGTTTGATCGGGTTAAAATTAATTCCAACTTTAATTGAATAGCAAACAAATTTTGTGATTTTTTATGCTAATCCTTAAATTATGAATTAAACTAATAAAAGTAAGTAAATGTGTTTTTATTCAAATATGTGAGATGCATTGTTAAAATGTTTAATCCCCCTTATTACTCCATTTTTAGTGTAACAATTAAAGTATAATTTGAAATCATTTATGTTGGTTAATGTTCCTAATTTAATTGAAAGTATCTCTCAATAGCGATCAAATATATTCCCTTCATGTGACATTTCTATCTCTCGATGAAATATGCAAACGCGATAAATGCATTAATAAGTGTTAGAACACCTATTGAAACCATATAAAACATAGATGTTTATCTCTATCATCTATCGAACCTTACAATGTTTATTATATTGTGTTTAAACCTTATTGTCTTTCTCGATAATAATAAAATCCACTAACAATTCAATTGGTGATCAAGTAATTAAAAAGAATGATAAAACGATAATAAGCATCCACGAATCAAATCAAATTAAAGTAAAAAATAATTAATTAAAAACTAAAAATATCATAATAAGGGTTCATCTCATCCTGTCAATGTATAAAATTAGACTAATATATCAAAATTATAAGAAATCATATTTAAGTGAAAAGATATAACCCGAATTTTTGATAAATTGAGAAAATGAAGATGAATTTTGAAATCTTGAATCTCCTCAATGGTTTCTTGATGAATCTCCACTTGCAATTCTCTTCTTTGCCCAAAAATCAAGTTTGAATCTTCACTTGATTGAATTCTTGCAAATCTTCTTCAATTTTCTTACAAAAATAATGAATTCTCCTACTTTTATGATAATAATTGATGAATATTGCAGTATGAGATGTATATGAGAGATCCCCCATATGTATTCTGCTATTAGTTATTTGTAGGAGTAGAAAATTAGTTAAAAATTATGTCCAAATTGATTTCCAAAAGAGTTTCAACTTTCAATCGAATAAGGAAAGTTATCTTCGCACGCAGATTTTTGATTCCGCACAGCAGTTTGTATTTTGACCATAAAGTTCTCTGTTGATATCCGATTGAAACAATTCAAGGTGCATTGGAAATCTAACTCAAATGGCTAAAACGTTTCTAGATATAGAGTTGTCCCAATTCTGACTTTTACTATGCGAAAAATGAGTCTCAATTCTCGACTAAAAATCTTGAATATAATTTGTGCTATTGAAAATTGATTTTAATCATATTCCGTTCCTTTTTGAGTTCTAATTTCATCCAATTGTATCCCAAAAATCTTCAAAATATCATCTTATGGTTCGAATCAACTATTGAATTTGCAGTTTGGTCTTCAAACTTTGGATTTTAGCCCTTTTCACCAATTTTCGCTTCCTCTTTTCCATTCATTGTTCAATCATTGAGTTTTACCTGTATAACGTAAAATACAAAAAATTAGGTATATTTTGTGGGAAGAACTATCAAATATTATTATTTTAAATTCCGAACAACTGTATAAAATACACTTATCAGCTATCACAGTAAAGAACCTATAGATAAACAAGAAAGGCAGCCAAAGAAGTTATTAATTTACACTTAACTCTTTTGCAAGGTTAATGTACCTTGCTATGTCATTCTTAAACTTGCAATGAGCATCTACTCAATGACAATTTCCGATAGGCTCTCTCTTAATGTACATCCATAGTGTCCATTCTTGACGCAGCATTCCTTCCTGAAGCTGTCACAACATCCACCTATACGTCTGTTATCCAAAGCCGAACTAGAGTTGATGGTCGAATGCACGTGTCGATAGCCTTCTGCAACATGCATTTTACTTCCCAAGTGAGCCTTCTCATTTTGGTGTGTATAAGCACAGCAATTTTTCTCTGGGATGCCTATTTTGTTGTCACTTAAGTCATCTTTTTGGGGATTCACACAATGGTTTTCCAGGCAGCGGTTTCCAGGATTCTTGCGATCATCAGATTTGATTGATTGTGAAGTACTCTCGCATGTTGGGATACTATGGTTGCCATGATCACAGTGTCTGTTGTGTAGCCCATCGTCAGATACACAAATGTTGGTCATTGGAGTCAATTTCGCA